ATCTACTGTCTGTTATGTCATTCTCACTGGCACTGTAAACTTAATGCTGCAATGGTTTTGATCACCAATAGTGGTGATGAATTTTTCCTGAATTTTCCATTAACATGAAGCAGTACAGATGCAGTGTCACGATCGAATGTCTAGGTTGCATTATATGACATTATTATCCTCATGAACACAACAGGTCTGTGTATCATACAATGGCTTAAGTGTTTCTCTATCTTGTTAACATTGTGCATAACTGTTGAGGCAAGTTCAGCTTATATTTGACGGCTACAGTTTCCTAAATATGAGAATGTAATTTCTGCAGGATTCATAAAACTATGCTCATTAGACATTACTGAGATTATGGATTAATTTCTAAGTTACACATTTGCAATACTTCATTTAATGTAAACGTATTTAGTGTGAAGTTTATCTGCAACTAAGGTTAATGAGAGTATGACGCCTCAACAGTATGGAAGCTTCAGAGATTATCTTGATATTTGCGTGTAATCCTTTAATACTGGTAAACATATGAGGTATACTGATGCTTATGGTGTCAATATACAACCAGCTGTAAACTACAAATACATTTATTTGCATGAGATATTACTTAGTATTAACAGAATCAGTGTATTCATAGTTTGTGCTAATATTAAGAATTATCTTTCATAACTTCATGTTGTGCTAGTCCTTATATGTGCTTTATTTTTTTCAGGTACACGGAGGTTGTCGAATATGAAATCAGTGGAAATATCATTCGGTCAAACTAACGTTAATGCTCTTCATCGGGATTTTCTTGTAAATTAATGAAATGTTTAATATACTCTTCAATTCTACTTCCTTTAAATTTTTCAGTGCGTCGCTATACTACGTGCTTTTGTAATAAGTGAATTCGGATCAATGCATGCTAAGCTTAGTTAGTGGGATGGAGATTTACTATGGTATTATGAGACTGTTACTTTAGCCCTTCGTAAGATTTCGTGTCTGTTTCTATACAGTAGAAGTACTTTAGATGCAGCCGCAGTCTTGCATCACATTTTCTCCATTATAGTCGTCCACTACCAATTATATTTTTGTTTGACGAACTTAATGTACATATGCATACGAAATGAAACATGTGAAGTGCGCGGATTAATTATTCCAGTGTCTTTTAATTCGCAGCTACACTGTACAAAGATGAACAGCTATCTATCAGGAGTCAGAAAATGCTCTTAAACTAAATCCTTCGAAATGTGAAACTGTTAATTTCAGTTTCCGATATAAGAGGAAGTAAGGAGAAGCTGTTAATTCCTATGACCGTTGCAAAATTGATGACAGTGATATAGAAATCAAGTCTGACTTTAAGTATCTCGGATTAATTCATCAAACAGCGTATTAGCCCTTAATGTATACCACATGAAGGCACAATGTTTATGATCTAGGTATGCAACGCTTGGACGGTACATTCATTATTTATAAAACTAACTCGTATGTAAGAACATTTGTTTGCATGAGATATTACTTAGTATTAACAGAATCAGTGTATTCATAGTTTGTGCTAATATTAAGAATTATCTTTCATAACTTCATGTTGTGCTAGTCCTTATATGTGCTTTATTTTTTTCAGGTACACGGAGGTTGTCGAATATGAAATCAGTGGAAATATCATTCGGTCAAACTAACGTTAATGCTCTTCATCGGGATTTTCTTGTAAATTAATGAAATGTTTAATATACTCTTCAATTCTACTTCCTTTAAATTTTTCAGTGCGTCGCTATACTACGTGCTTTTGTAATAAGTGAATTCGGATCAATGCATGCTAAGCTTAGTTAGTGGGATGGAGATTTACTATGGTATTATGAGACTGTTACTTTAGCCCTTCGTAAGATTTCGTGTCTGTTTCTATACAGTAGAAGTACTTTAGATGCAGCCGCAGTCTTGCATCACATTTTCTCCATTATAGTCGTCCACTACCAATTATATTTTTGTTTGACGAACTTAATGTACATATGCATACGAAATGAAACATGTGAAGTGCGCGGATTAATTATTCCAGTGTCTTTTAATTCGCAGCTACACTGTACAAAGATGAACAGCTATCTATCAGGAGTCAGAAAATGCTCTTAAACTAAATCCTTCGAAATGTGAAACTGTTAATTTCAGTTTCCGATATAAGAGGAAGTAAGGAGAAGCTGTTAATTCCTATGACCGTTGCAAAATTGATGACAGTGATATAGAAATCAAGTCTGACTTTAAGTATCTCGGATTAATTCATCAAACAGCGTATTAGCCCTTAATGTATACCACATGAAGGCACAATGTTTATGATCTAGGTATGCAACGCTTGGACGGTACATTCATTATTTATAAAACTAACTCGTATGTAAGAACATTTGTTTGCATGAGATATTACTTAGTATTAACAGAATCAGTGTATTCATAGTTTGTGCTAATATTAAGAATTATCTTTCATAACTTCATGTTGTGCTAGTCCTTATATGTGCTTTATTTTTTTCAGGTACACGGAGGTTGTCGAATATGAAATCAGTGGAAATATCATTCGGTCAAACTAACGTTAATGCTCTTCATCGGGATTTTCTTGTAAATTAATGAAATGTTTAATATACTCATAATTTCTACGTCATCTGGACTTCTTCAGTGCGTCGCTATATTATGTGCTTTTGAAGTGAGTGCATGTTAATGCGTGTTGAGCTTAGTTAGTGCAATGGAGATTCACTATAGTATTATGAATCTGTTACTTTAGTCATCTATAGGATTTTGTGTCTGTTTCTATACAATAGCACATTGTAAAAACTGATTAGGAATCAGCAAGTTGAATGACGATTCTGTGCTGTTCGATACTCTAAAGTCGCCTTATCCAGCCAGTTGCACGTCTGTATACTCTTAGACGCCAAGTATGTAGGTCAGGTATGGAAATCAGAGTGAACGCTTGTACGGTACACTCATTATTTATAAGACTAACTACTATGTAAGAACTACGATTTGACCAGTTATACAACGTTTAATATATTAAGACTCAATCAACGTACGCTGATGACTTCTATGATGCATTACCTAAAGCTACATAGCTACTTTAGAATATTTTCCGTTGAAGGTAATCTCCGGTAGCTACCACCTCAGTGAGCAACTTAACGTTAGTTTTGAATTACAAAGTAAAGATGGACATCCTGAGAACTTCCTTGGTAAAAAGACCGTCTCCCAGTCGAAAAGATTAAATATATCTTAATTTTTAGGAAAGCGTTTAGATGTATTTATCCTATCATCTCAAATCACTCACCATTTTTAGTCACTTATAATGTAAAAATAAATTTACCGAAGACACTGCTCATGATTTCAAGATGTTGTAATGCACCATGAGGAAATACCTATATCCATAGGGTTATAATAGATAGACGCAATATATTAATCCGAAGCATAGCAACTACGCTTCACAGTCAGAGAACATACTACTTTGCCATCTATTCATCTATTTGTGTCAACAAATGATGCGCCAAGAAAAAGACCACTGTTTCATGGAAAGCTTATTTAAAGATTTAAAAAAATCAACGACATCCCATAATTATGCTCACTGAGAAATTACAAATATCCGAAAATTAAGATTTTGATTATTTGGACTGAAACAAGCACTTTGTATTCAGCCACTTTTCACCCCGAATAATAATCAGACCACAATCCAAATCGTTATTCTTCCTAATTAAAGTTTTATCTCACCTTCGTACACCCACAAGATCATTTTATGCTATATGCTTTTTAAGTCGTTATGCAACATACCGAATGGCTGATATCATATACTTTACTACAGACAGTTCTAGTTTATGCATTTGGATACAGTACATTAGCCACCAACAACCATATATGGCACTTACCATTTAGAGGCATCTGATTGCTTCCCAGCTTCTTTCGGTTCCCAAAAACACATACAAGCACAACAGATTCACACGTTACATGTGGCTCATCCTTGTTTAATTTAGATTCTCTCACAATATATCTGGTTTTTTAACTGATGATAGATACACTAATGGTATACTCACCTCCTCAAAAAGCTGCAAAGCTTTTTCATCTTCAAATCAGGTGCTAAATTGCTCAGGTTTAATTTGTCCTTCGATAACCTTGCTAGTAGCAATCCTGATCATGCTCTGTTTACCAGATTGACTCGTAGATTGTTGCATGCTGTAACATGAACGTGAAAGAAATTATTTTTATAGATCTCTACATATCAAGTAACCAGTTGAGGCACAAAAAGAAACCGGCAACCAACAAGTGGACTTGCAGCGGTAGGTAATTTCACAGAATCATTGCCCACAGCATTCATCAATAAACATTAGATGCTGACTCTCACTGCTTGAGTGAACCGGTTTAGCTGAAGTCTTCTGGTCAAGCATCCACGCCATTTGGTAGGCTGTCGTGTCATGTTCGTTCGTTCGTGCACGATCCCTAGCTAGATAATCAATCATCTCGCAATCTGATTTGGTCCCAAAATACAACTGGTAATTAAGACGACCAATTCTGGTGTTTCGATTTGATTTCGGTCTATGCGGAATGAATACTAGAGGAGTTGTGGATAATAGATCTTGCGTTAGTATACTTCGTACTATCCATGGACATCAATACCCTTAGCCCCTAAAAGCTGGAAGCATTAGCTTCTGCAACCCAAATATGTTCATGCGCATAATTTCCAAGACTCCTACACAGTACTATTTCATTAACAGCTGAACATTAATTAAAACACTGTAACCACACATGAATGCAACGTATGAAACAACTACAAGGAAATGAATGAACTGACCTGGTAGTAAAAACTTTCGAAAAGAACGAAACAACTAATTTTAACAGCAACAGGAGCAAAGATGAGATGAAATGCGACATTTGTGCCCAATGTGCATCAAGGTAATTTGTGAGTAACTGCAGAATAAACGTAAAAGCCAATGTGTAAGCGAAAGGTTAGAGAACGACAATCCAACATGGATGACTAACATGAACGAAAGTGACCTTTGGGTGTCTAACAGTTCTAATGACCTTGCGCGATTACTTCGGTCCATTTGTTGAACTTCGACATTGAAATCGAAGCTCAACTTAGTCATTCGTGCCGCTATATTGGAGTCCAAGGTCAGTTTTCGGGATGGCTATCTGGTGTCTTCTAAACTATAGCAGCCCAAAACGAAACTACACCTAGCGGCCAATCAGACATGTTGGAAGTGAAAGTGCGTGTTTTGAAATAAAAATCTCTACACAAGTAATGAAACGTGAAAACATGGCTAAATAGGATAATATTGTATATTTGTCTCAACCCCCCACCCCAGTTAGCCACAGGAGTCCTCATAGTCAAGTTGAACCAACTTATGTAGATAAATTCGTCAGGGCCAGCAATCTGCTCACTAGGTAGTTTCGTTTGGGGCTGCTATAGTATAGAGCCCCCACCAGGAAAAAGATCTAACCCTCTTAGTTGTGATTTGTAAGTGTTGAGATGCTGAAGTGACAGGTTTCACCACCAAACAACGCTAAGTGCATTTTTTGCAAATTACCCATAGTGAGTAAGGACAACCGAAGGCTAAAATAATGCTGAATTAATGCTCGCTAATTCCTAACTAATCCTTTTTTCTGTACTAAATAAATTCTAAAATGACTTGAAATTGCGGACAAAATAACGCGCCTGGCTCTTTATGCACGTAACGCCTACTGGTCTAGCACTGTGCTTATTCAGTGGTACCCTCAGTAGAAAAGGTCTTACTGGTATTTTTTACAGAGTCCTTGTAGCTCTTCCATTCTCAATTAATCCCTTAACTCACTAGGTAAGCGTCAAGTGCAATTATTAAGCACTACGTGCATTACGGCAGCGCATTAGGTACTTTTAAGCACACAAGATATTCACTTTGCATTCAACTCAATATCGCCGCATACTTCGGAATAAATTTAACTCTGTGGTAAGCTCTGAATACTGACATCTCTCAGCATCAGATCTGCTTTTTAAGAATTAGTTCAATACAGACTAGCATCCTTTCTGTGTTGTACTAATTAGTTCACAGGTAAGTGCTATTTGCAGTACAGGTTGTTTTTTTCTTTCAACACAGCATTCGTTAATCACTAGACATAAATTTTGGGAGCTGGGCAAGCTGTTAATAAGCTAAAACCTAAAGTTACTAAGAGCCATTAGGTCTCTACCGCCTCATCCGAACTGATTGGCGCAAGGAGACTGATTCCAGTGACCTCCGATTATGATGAGGAGCGAAAGCTACTCAAATGCAAACTACCAAGAAGCCTTCGTAACGACCGTGAACAGTGGTGAGTGACAAAAGCGAAAGAGATGGAAAAGGCACCGGCGATTGGCAACACCAGACAACTATTCAGGCTTATCAGGGAAACAGGTGGCAAAAAGCAAATGATAAGTGAAACAATCTCGGAGAAAAATGGCACCATAATTAGCTTCCAGGATAGACGACTGGAACTCTGGAAAGAGCACTATGGGGAGCAGTTTAATTGCTCTACAGCCACACTTAACCTGCCGAACATCCAATACCTCCCTGAATGGGATATAGACACAGGTTCTCTTTCCTTAACTGAGGTTACTAAAGCTGTCACTAATCTGAAACAAGGCAAAGCAGCGGGACCTGATGGAATGACTCCAGAGGTATTTAAGTACGGTGGAGACAGTTTACTGTCTGCATTAACTGAGGTTCTAGGCAGCGTCAGTGAATCATAGGAAGTCCCATCGGGTTGGTGTAAGTCACTGATCATCCCGATATACAAGAAGGCAGACAAGTCTTCCTGTGATAACCACAGAGGGATTAGCTTGACTAATGAAGTATCTAAAGTCCTAGGCTCAATAATATTGTGCAGACTAACTGGTGCTCGGGAGGCACAAACACGAGGGGGCCAGGCAGGCTTTAGACCAGAAAGAGGGTGTATTGATCATATTTTCACCCTTCGACAGATTCTGGAACATAGGCATACTTACCGGGGTCCAACAATCGTCATACTTCTTGACCTAAAGGTGACATCCGATTCTGTCGACCGAGAGGTACTATGGCGATGCTTGGCTGTAAAGGGAATGCCAAGAAAATACATTGCGCTGATCAAGGCACTCTACTCGAACTCGTGCAGCCAGGTGAGAGCTTATGGCGAGTTGTCATCTGAAGTGGTGACAACTAATAGTGTCCGACAGGGATGCCCATTATCCTCATTTCTATCCAATTTCATCACAGATGTACTAATGGACTTAAGCCTAACTCACTTCAGCGACTCAGGGATTGACTTGCTAGCAGGGAATAATCTCGTTGGCTTAGAATATGCAGATGATATAGTCCTTCTAGGTGAGGACGCTGACAAAATGCAGAGTCTTCTGAGCACCCTGAGCTGCAATCTACGAATGTTTGGCATACGATTCGCTCCCGCCAAATGCAAGATGATGTTACAGAATTAGACTACACCAACTCCTAGATTAGAAATAGGAAGTGGAGTGGTAGAGCACGTTGACCGCTTCACTTACTTGGGAAGTACCATCAGCCCCAACGGGTTGATCTCAGACGAGATCTCAGCACGGATACAGAGGGCTGGGTTCGCATATGCCAGTTTATGCCGTCTCTGGCGTAGACGTGATATCCGAATATCGACCAAAGGGCGTGTGTACTGCTCATCAGTCCTCTCCGTCCTCCTTTATGGCTGTGAGACCTGGCCATTGAGAGTGGAATACATGAAAAGATTAGCTATGTTCTATCTCCTATGTGAAGTGGTATAATAAGGTGAGCAATATTGAGGTGAGGCGTCCAGTGAGTGCTAGGTAAGGAGGGGAGCGTCAGAGCACAACTTTGGCGTCAATTTAACGGAAAACTAGATACAACTACTCGACTGACTTAGCCAGCATATATATGGTTCTCTTCTTCGGGCAGCTAGCTGTGTTCACCTCAAGTAGTTTTCAAGGCCCCACGAATCCTGTGTACGACCTCACTTTAATATCATCCGTCACAAATACTTCAATCTTATGGAAAGGTTGCACTGAAAGGCCTCAGAAGTTATGGGATTTCGGAACAAAACATTTGACGAAAGGTTGCGGGAATTAATTCCCTATACACTTGGCTGCTGCTGGCTTAAGAGTTACCAAGTCACCACTTGCAAGACTACAAATGACTAAAAACAAATTTAAAGTCTTATTTATTCCCCCTCAACATTTGTTCCAACCGCCCCACCAGTTCATGACTTCAATACAAACCTAGACTACTAAGACGAAATGAAAGGTTTGCCAACTTCCTGAGGGGAATCAACTGGGTTTTACTGCTAATAGATATATCCCAGCTTCTTTTACCTACTTCACTACTGCAATTTAATTTTTGTTATCTATTCCTGTCACTCTTATTTTGTTATTTTTATATGTACGTGCTATCACAGGTTTCTCTACCCTTTACTCAGTCCTCTTGTTCAACGTTTCATTTGCTTTATTGACTCATTCTCTCTATTCCATTTCCATTCGCTTTGCACAATATTCTCCACGGTATTGATTTACCTAATTGGAGCATTGCCTAGCAAAGCGAAATTTGGAAGTCAGCATCGGAGAATTATACATTCCTTCCAACATAAACTAACATATTTTGTATTATTTTTACTATAGCTTGATTCCACACAGTATTTTGTTACAAGTATGGAATTTTCAGCTTGTTATAACGGTAGCCCAAATTTTGCAGGCCGACCATAGATATCAGATGTGCGTCGGCTGGGAATCGAAACCCGGACCATGTGCGTGATCGGCGAGAGTCCTAACCGCTGTGCCGCCGACGCACATACTCCGTAAACCGCACAAGTAAGGAAAAGAAATGGAAATGTAGTAGTACTAAGATCAAGAAAAGATGAGTTTAAAGGAGAAAATTATGAAAGGGAAACTGTGAAAATCTGAAACTTGACAAGCAGTAAATATATCTGCGTGGTTGTAAATAGTTTTGATCCATGTTTCCTAGTGCCTAGAGAATCGAAACCAAATAATATACACCTTCATACAAGTGCTGAATGAACAGGTAACTATTTTATGATTTCGTCAAAAACCTGTCCATTAGGGTTATTACAATTCAGATAAGTGTAGGGAGCAACACATTCAATCATTTTCCTCTTCAACCTTAGTGTAGAGGGAGACAATAGGTGACATGGCTCAAAATCGTTGTCAATGGCGCAGATGTATTCAGTCTCTTTAACCTTCATATTCCTTTCTACCATTACTCATTCTGTTTCACTCTTATACTTATCTAAATTCTATTGATTCTCTTCTCTCATTTTCCTGTCTACCTTTGTGTGCTATTTGGAACGTGGCAACTCGAACTGCTGCACTTCGGTGCCAAGTTCTATGTTGAATTGAATCCAGAGGGAGAAACAGACCAGTCTTATAGTAACCTTTTACGTTGCACAGGTGTGAGCCGTATGCAAAACACACAGACTTGTATTCAAGTAGCTAACAAGACTGCATTTTGGCAACGTCTTCACTGAAAGTTACCATATCGGCTGCCTACACAAAAGCAACGACGCCATCGCCTTATGTGGTTTAGTTAATTTCCTCCTACTTATTGACCTCATATTTATCAAGTACCTGGGCACTCAAGAGCTTCAACAGTGTATCCACTCAGTTATAGGTATGCATATGCGCTGACTGCGTTTTCGGAATACGTACAGGTCTTCCCTCAAATGCTCTACCATTCGTTTTTTATCGAGTCACCAGGTAAAACAGTGTATCCTTAGGACTCTATATATACCCCTAGTATTATATTCTGATTGGTTCAGATTCCTTACTTCAGCATTAGAATTTCCAGCTGAGTTGAATACAACTGATTGCTTTGCTCTTAAAAGTAAACTCGACAGTTTTAATTAGACATCCTCTATTTGGTTCAAACTGTAGTCAGTGTGTAAAGGAAGATTCTGAAAAGGCAAGGAGGAATGTTAATATCTTTATTCGTAGAGACCCATTCAGCTAAATAGCACACTAGAGTGTCTATTGGGTTGCAGTTGATTAGTGAGTTTTGTTTTAGAGCTTAGTAAATCACCTACAACAGAGAGCCGGTGACAACTAGCTAAAAAATCCCCTGCTACTTGTATGATGAATTTCGTCGAAAGTGTGTCTAGGGCAAGAAACACATGTCACAGTTTTGGTAAATGAATCATGTTGTCTGATTGAGCACAATGCTCGAATGTTGAGAGCTGCAGTATAAAGATGCCGGCATGATCTTAAGTAATTAGAAGCATTGTTTCTTTCACTTACTCTCTAGCAATGATCTCAGTATTAGGAGAAGGTGAAGGTACCCGTGGTATAGTTTAAACAGTGTAAGGAAAGTAAAAAGATATTACTCCATGAACACAGGAATTTTGTGTTTATCTCCCTGTTTCTTTGAACACCTGGGAGAGAAAAAGTTTATTTTTATGTGACTTCAAAGCCCAGGAAATAACTACCTGAGGACAGTCACACGCTGTAGAATTTCATCTGTACGAGGAATCTAGTCGCCATAGGGTAATTCAGGTCACATTGCATTCCCTAGTGCCAAAAGGCAGTATGTTTGACTTGCTGATTACCTAAAAGACACATTTCAATGTTGATATATTCTTATCCATCAACGGAAAAACTCCCATCACAGAGTGAACAGCTTGCTGTATGATAGTAACTGCTTTTAATTTAACTGCAATCTAGTCTATTTTAAGGCAGGGTCGAATCTGAAGTCTCATTCCTAGCAAATATAACTCATCCGATCATTGTGATATAAACCACATCAAGGTAGTAGTTATGAGTCTAGTGAGTAGAGCTGATCAACTTTGCGATCAGTGTAGTAGTTATAATTATCAAGCTGGACAACGAGGCGTGTATACCTAGCTGAATAGTTTGAAATATAACTCAAATCTCTCCCTACCTCTTTCCCTGTAGTCTTGTTTCCAATTTACTGACACTGAAAAAGAAGATAGCAATCTACACTAATGGTAGTAATACATGAAAGTTCTGTGTTTTTAAAATATCATATTTGCCGGAATTTAAGTTCTTGAGTAGTTGGAAAGACTCCTTTTTGAGCACTATTTTTATCCTTAGGATGTTACTGTTGTAAAGGTTGAATAGGTTTTGTTTTCCAATGAAGGAGAAAACGTGACTAAAATGCCCTAGGAAGGTTCTCTGATAGTAATATGCACTTCAACCGTCTTCTGCACAACCTTTGATTACCTCGTTACTGTCGTCCTTGTCATAAAAAACAACTTGATAACCATTAAAAGCTGTGTTTGCCACCGTTAGGGTTCAGAAATTTCTGTTAAGTGTAAGACTTACATTATTTATCATTCTTCTGACTGTTAGCTGATGCCTTGACGTGGTGGTCAAGCCTATATATCTCAATGACCCAAGCGCTATACTGGCTGGAACGAATGTCCGTGCAGGTCCTACCATTCGGTAGGTAACTTGGATAGTGGTTAGACTAAAGGCGTTTATCGTCACATTGTAAGTTCTTCACACTATGCGGGTGTTTTGAGGATGAGGTAGTACTGCTGGTGAATAAGGGTGAATTTTTTCTCTCGGTAAAAATAGCAAACTAGCTATGCGCCTTTCCCGCACTGCAAAACAGAACTGAGAAAAGTTCGGCCCCCAAAACTGTATATCCTTATTTACCTTGTGGTGGTCCGTAGACGATACCGAAGTCTTCTGTACAAAAGAGATGCACTTCTATAAAGGCGGCGTATTACTGTCCTCAAACAGTTATCCTCTGAGGTCTGCAGTCAATTAGCACTAATTCTCTGTCTCCTTCAAGTACTTAAAACAGGAATCAACCTCCAAAATGTGAGCAAGCGGCAATCGTTATAGACTATTCAGTAAAATAATAACAATTTCACTTTAAGGATACTAATACATCACATAAATGCAATCAATCTATAGTAGGTAACTCAGTATGCAGCGTTTTTAATATATGTAGTCCACCTGCTTATCACACCTAAACTTGGTTAGCAAGTAAACTCTTTATCTGTGAAAACAAATGAGAGCACGACATTTTTGCATGACCGGTTGTGCTTTGCATTACACTGCATCACAGTTCCTTTTATTTTTGCAAGAACTTTTGATAAATCATCTGAATTTGTTTCCTAACAGCCTCATATAAACATGATTAAGACCCTGGGGATTTATTTGAATTCATATTCTTTCCATTCTAAAGAAGTATGGAAGCTCCCCTTGTCATCCGTGTGCTTGCTGCTTCTGTATGTCTAGCAGAGAAGGCCAGTTCTCTAATTCGTACAGTGTATGCCTCCAAGGACCTTGCAATTATCGATAAAGGAGTCAATGATTTTCAGTCTAGAGCTGATAGGGATTCCCAAAGGTGCATCGTTCAATCTCTAAATAACACCTTCCCAGGCCTTCATATTATTGGTATTTATGATATTGATTTAATAATTTAAAGAAAAATTTAGGTGAAGAAGGAGAATTAGACGCTGGGAATGTCCCTCAGTCTAGCGAACTAAGTCCAGAAGTTCTTCAGCACAAATGCCCTCCATGGCTGAGTACCCTATCAACAGATGATCTAGTAGTTTGGGTAGACCCACTGGATGGTACAAAAGAATTTACCGAGGTACGTTGATTTACGTGTAAATGCTGTGTTTAAGTTAATGCGATTAGAGTCAGTATTCCTTTCAGTTGGAATTAATAGTGCGAATGTATATCGTTCTTCTAAATTTAGGGTCTTGTGGAGTACGTTACAGTCCTTATTGGCATTGCAGCAGGAGGTAAACCTGTAGGTGGTGTAGTAGCTCAGCCTTTCTACCAGCCCACTTCAGTTGAAAACACGAAAAAGCCACACTACATAACTCGTGTTGTTTGGGGACTTTCTGATGTTGGTGTATTTGGAGTAAAACCCTCATTGCCTTCTTCACAATTGCCTTATCCGATCGATTTAAATGCTCCAAAACTATCTTTGCCGCATTCCATTGTGATTACCCGATCTCATCGATCTCCTACTCATGATATTGTAATCAAGGCATTCTACCCCACCGAGGTGAGTACAAATACGTTTCCCATTATTATTTAGAATTCTTGGTATAAATGCACTCAATAAAACTTAGTATATATATATATATAACCCTTAGTTCTTTTTTTAATCTGACCAACTACTAACACGCATCAGCTCTGATCTCAACTTACATCTCAACAAGGTTTTCTTTATAACCTTGTGAAATATTGACATTTTCTTTCGCTAGATATCATAACATACAAACTTTAACCTTGAATGGTTAGATTCCTTGCTTTCTGACCCAGATTATGGAGGTACAGGTGGACATGGGAATATATGAACCAACTTCACCCAATCCTGTAGTCAGTGGTGCTGTCACCATGATATTCAGAATGTGACTAAACTCCTGGATGAAAGGACTGAGTAAACCTACCTTTAATTAATGGGTATCGTACTTTAGCTGTCACTAGTCAAATCTTATTATTATCACTATTATAATTTCCTTTAATTCCTAGAGGAACATAGGGCTTCAGCCGCGCGTCTCCATTGCGTTCGGTTCTCTGCTAGAGTTTTCACGTGGCTCCAAGTCTGCCCACATGCTTTCATCTCCTCTTCACATGACCTCCTCCAAGTCACCCTTAGACTACCAACTCGCCGCTTCCCTTTCGGGTTCCACTCGAGCGATGGCTTGTCTAGTGATGTCACTTGATGGCTTCCTGAGAGTATGGCCAATCTATCTCCATTTCTTCCTGCCTATTTGTTTCACAATCGGTTCCTGCTTGGTTTGCTACCACAGGTCCCTATTACTGATCTTTTCTGGACATCTGATCTTGAGTATTGAGCGAAGACAGCTGTTAATGAAGGTCTGTAGTTTGTTTGAGGTACTCTTTATGACGCGCCAAGTCTCTGATCCGTATAGTAGCACTGACTGACTTCACATTGGAGTTGAAAATCCGGACCTTATTTTTCATGCTGAGTGCTGCTGATCTCCACACATACTTGAGAGAAATGAAAGCTTGCCTTGTTTTCCCAATCCTCGCTTTTATATCCTCATCAGTTCCGTTCACCTGTAGTTGAAACGATGCTTCCCATGTAGGTAAAAGAGGTTGTTTCTTTCAGGTTCCTCCCATTTATGCCGATCATTGTCTGTTGTTGTTGTTCTTGTCCAGTAATCTTCATTACCTCTGTTTTCTGTATGTTCACCTGAAGTCCTATCTTTGATGCTTCTTCTGCCAACTTGTTGCTTTTCACTTGCATATCTTCCAGTTTGTGGGAAATCGGACATATATCATCGGCGAAGTCCAGATCCTCCAAGTTTTTTGTGTGAGTCCATTTTATGCCTGTTTCGTCATTGCCCGCTGATTGTCGCATTATCCAATCTACTGCAATCAGGAAAATCATTGGCGATAGTAGACAGCCTTGTCTTACTCCTGTCCTCACTTCGAAGGATTCCGTAAGTTTCCCGTTGTGGATTATTTGGCATGCAGCATTGTCGTACAGCTGTTGGATGAGATGTATTATTGTCGGTGGCACCCCGTAGTAGCGAAGTAGTTGCCAAATCACCTCTCGATCGACACTGTCGAAGGCCTTTTCAAAGTCGATGAAGTTGTAATAAAGATGTGACTGCCATTCCAGGCTTTGTTCAATGATGATCCGTAGTGTGGCGATTTGATCAAAACATTACTTGTTGCTCCTGAATCCAGCTTGTTCCGGTCGAAGCTTTTTATTCCAGGGCTTGTTTGATTCTCTCCAGGATGATGCGGCTTAGTATTTTTCTTGGGATGGACAGGAGCATGATGCCGCGCCAGTTCTTGCATTGACATAATTCTCCTTTCTTTGGCAGTTTGAATAAGTATCCTTTCTTCCAATCCTCGGGTACCTTGCCCTCGTTCCACACCTTCTCCAGCAGTGGCGTCATCAAGTCCGCTGTTGTTTCTGGATCCATTTTCAATGCTTCTGCTGGGATTCCATCTGGTCCTGATGCTTTTCCAGCTTTTAGCATCTTGACTGCCTTCAGGACTTCTGATTTCGTCAGGGGTTTGGTGTTTACTGGTAGCTCTGTCTCCGTTGTTGGTATTGTTGGGCGCGTTGTAGGTGTTGGTCGATTTAGGAGTCTTTTGAAGTGTTCAGCCCAGTGTTTCCTTTGCTCCACTTCTTTGGTGAGTGACATCCGTTGTCATCTTTCACCGGCTTGATTTGTGTCAAACGTTTGCCCGATAGGTACCTAGTTGTTTGGTAGAGTGTTACGAGGTCTCCTTTGCCTGCAGCTTGTTCTGCTTCACTTACCATGGTTGCATAATACTTTCTTTTGTCTTCTCTGGCACTCTTCTTTACTCTTTTGTTCAGTGTATTGTAGCTTGCATTCAAATCCTGTTTTTGTTGCTCGTCGGTGCACTGGATAATCTTTTGTTTCACCATCCTTCTCTCTTCTATTAGTCTCCAAGTGAGCCACAGTTTGTCCTGTCTCTTCTTTCTGCCCAGAACTTCCATGCAGGTTTGACTCCACACTGTTTTTAAGTTGTTCCAGTGCTTTTCGACGCTGACCTCTTCGCTAGTGTTGATTTGTGTCTCGGCTTTTTCCCTTATGCTTGCAGTGAAGATGTCCTTTGTATCCTGATCCTTCAGTTTTTGAGTGTTGAACTTGGCTTGTGGTCTATCTGCAGCTCCTGCTTCTCTGAACGCTTTTAGTTTGATTTGGACTGTCCCTTGTACGAGATAGTGGTCTGAGACAACGTCTGCTCCTCTTCTTACTTTTGTGTCCAGTAGGCTGCGCCTCCACTTCCTTGAGATTGAGATGAAGTCAATTTGGCTTTTGGTTCGCCCATCTGGTGACACCCATGTAGCCTTGTGGATATCCTTGTGTTTGTATACGCTGCCACCAATCACTAGTTCATTGAAGGCACAGAAGTCGGCGAAGAGTTCTCCGTTTTCATTCATCTCTCCCAGAGCTTCTCTACCCATGATGAGTTCCCTTCCTGTGTTGTCTGGTCCCAGTTTGGCGTTCATGTCTCCCATTAGTATTTTAATGTCACCAACTGGAGTATTGTCCATTGTTGCCTGTATTTGTCTGTAGAATTCTTCTTTCTTTTCGAGGTCTGCGTTGTTTGTCGGTGCATAGCATTGTATAACTGACACTTTCCTTCCTTTGGAGTTGAATCTGGCGGTCATTATCCTGGGCGAGATCACCTCCCATTGCATCAGGGCCTTCGTTGCCGTTGGTGACATCATGATAGCCACACCCTCGGTGCGCGTGCGGTTGTCTTCTGGGTGACCGGATTAGATCATTGACTCTCCCGTTGACAATTTGGTGATTCCATTCCCGTTCTATCTGCTTTCACATATTCCCAGTACTTGAATTCCGTATCTTTTCATCTCGTTTGCAATCTGGGCAGCTTTGCCAATCTCGTACATGGTGCGGACGTTCCATGTCCCCACACAGACTTTTTCTTTTGGCACAAGGAGATTCATCGTGCTGAAGTTTCTGTAGCAACTTTGTTTATAGGGTGGGGTTGCTAGCCTCATGCCTGAGAAAAGGATTGTTACATTAAAATATAGTTTAGAGAGAAGCGACCTTGTGGGTTGCTCCTCTTAAAACCAGGAAAACAAGGAATAAAACAATCAGAACAACACCAGCAAAAGGAAAATAATTCACAACAGGAAGGGCAACAAGCGACAACAACAATAAAAAAGCAAAACGTAAGCAGTAGTATCACAGTCAGATAAAGTTAACAAAAATGATACCAAAATCATGGACTCACTGACTTGAGCCAACTTGAACATGTAAATCCATCAATATATACAATTATAGATTTTAGTTAGTGTTAGACAGACACAAAGTGCCAAGCAGATAGTTATATATATATTATCAGTCAAGATTATATCCACAGATTCAGTGTTTGAAAGGCAAATAATTACAATAATTTTTGCGATTTCTTGGCAAGAAATTCCACAGAAGTAAGTTTTATGTAGCGTAGTAATCGAGAAGTCAAATCTTAAGAATCGTAGGAGCCTTCAATCAAAACTTTTCCGTTTTGTTATACAAAGTATAAATGGGACTTGGAAAATTCTACTTTTGTGGGTTACTGACTGTTCACTCTCTACCTATATTATTCAATATAGTTTATATTGATATAAAATGTGATCAATTAGACACTGTAACCCATTAGTCGGATTTTGAATAATTCGTAAAAAAGAACCATATTGTACAAAATATGCTGCCCTTTCTCTCCAGAACATACTTATATGAAAGTGCTAAAATATTTATTTGAATTAAAGGCATTATTAGTTTAAAAACCCCATTGGCTTGCCACCATAAAGCTTAGCACAAAAGTTCGCTGTAATTCGGCGAATCACACGTAGAAGTCGAAACACGAAATACAATGAAATTACAATAAAATAAAATTTGCCTGAGAAAAAAAAACAGATGAAGAGTAGTAGTGAGAATTTTTAGAATATCTAAGATACCCAGGAGTGAAAACATTCTCACCATTGTAAAAAAAGACTTGAGCCGCGTCACCAGTAGTCTTAGCATCTTAGCTTCACGAAGACACTAACCACAATCTACACCTCCCTGCATGGCTCAGACCAACGGTCAGTGACTTCGTGGATTGGTATTATATATTAGTCTCAATACTCCTAACTGTTTTCTGATCTAACCCTATTCCAAATAACATTGATCTTTGAGAAAATCAGTGGCTAGCTGTGTGTAACACGAGTTCACTCCATCACAGTCTATGGAGCTTCTAAACCTCATCAATTGACTTTTCCTTCTTATCTATCGTTCTACGCCTAACCTCATTATTACTAACTATATTGCTGGACCTGAAACGAGGGATTGAACAGAAATACTTTTGGTCACAAACAGCTTATATTTCCACTTACTCCAACTATAACCACCATGTCTCAGAGATGTGAAGTAGGACGGAGAGAACAACTGCACAGCAGTCACGTACTTTAATGGATTGACGGATACGCTGTCTGAGTCAAATATGATGCAAGTTAGTAGATGTCAAATGAGCTTTTTGTATCCGTACTGGTAACTGAAAAGTGTATACTGTGAATCAAGAAATGAGAGATCTGGGTTATAGTCTCTTCACCTCATGGTTTTTAAATTCACAGTAGAAAGCATGCTACTCGTGCCTGACATTTACTGCTTGAATTTCTTTTATTTCCACTTTGACTGTCTATTAATTCATTTGGTGAGGACATACCTTGTTACATATTTCACTCATTTTTTTGCAGAGCATTTGTGCTGGAGGATGCGGTTACAAAGTCCTTATGTTACTTGAAGGCCGTGGTCACGTTTACGTCTTCCCTAGCCAAGGAACTAAAAAGTGGGATACGTGCGCTCCAGAAGCTGTCCTCCTGGCATCTGGCGGCAAGCTGACAGATTTACTTGGACAACCGTACAATTATAGCTTGAATACTGAACATGAAAATGTCAGAGGCATACTTGCTACTCCCGTCGCTGATTGGCTTCCAGCTTATATCTCGTGCTTACCAAAAGAAGTAGTTGATGACTTCTCATCTCGGAATTAATTACCGTTGCAGATTATTTTGTGTTCCAGAAAATTAATTGATACAGTTGTATGAATGCGCAGGACTTACTGTTTATTATTATTTTGTAGTCAGTAATTTTGCTTAAAAATAACATTCTATATACAGTACAATGCTACTCGAAGAAAGTCTTTATTCATAAATTATAAACTGATCTAAAAAACCTACTTCTTTGTGTTTTATAAAATTTATATCTGGCTTGGGTTTCAGTTTACAATTAACGCTTTAAATTGTTGATTTGGATTCCTGGATAAACCACCTCAGAAGCTTGGAGTCGGTTGCTACTGCTGCACTCTTATAAGATTATCTCTACCATAGTTTCAAACGTACGCAGACCAATAAAACCTGTAGCTGTAAGCAACCTGTACTTTGTGCGAGTGCTTTTACCTCCTACTAGAGGAGTTAAATATTTATTAGCTCATACAGTAAAGTGTGCATGATACGTTCTATCTAAAATTTAGGTGGAACCATTTAATAAATGCTTAAACTTACGGTGTGTAGTTTTTATGATGATTTCTCGGAAATCATCGACCTGTACGTGAAAAGAATAAACGGAGGTAGACAAGATGTACTGATTCCTGTTACCTAATTATTACAAGGTAAACGCATACCTTTCAATAATGTCTATACACAACTAATTATGTATTAGTTAATTCTTAAATGGTGATTTCAAGATTCTTTAAAGTCCACATAGGTTTAAATACTTATTCTGTGAAAAATGGTTGATTTAACTTGTCAAATATGTATTCTGATTTACAAGTTCTCTTAATTAATATATCCTCAAAAAGTTCAGTTAATTATACGCACAGACTGAAACATCATGCTCAAGTTACCAACATCCACTCATGTGTCTGTACACTTGAGAACATGACTGCAAATAAACTTACCAATAAGAGTAGTTGAACTGTATGATTATCTAATAGGCACACCAAACAAAAATCATTTATGGTTGCTTATTCTATTGCCTGTAAAACTATGCATAATCCACTATAATTACAGTTATTGTGAGTCGAAACAGATTCACTGACTGTTCTGTATATCTGTCAATATCTCACTAGTTATCAGCTTCAGTGCACATGTTGGGTTCTTAGTCAAAATAGGGTGTAGGTGTATATTACTACTAAAAGACAGGTTCATTTTGTAAGTTTTAACTGTAAACCAAATTTTTCAGGTCATCACTTGATGGTGTTCGAAACACGGTGAACACTAAATGCATAATCAAAATTTGAAAATCAGTAATACTTTCTTTTGAAAAGAAAGCCAGTATTTTAAAAAGTTACCTTCAAAATTAGGTCCTTGAAATGTCTTGTAAAAGTGGAATCTTTTGACTTGATTAGTTTGTAGTAAAGTTTTTCAAAACATTTCAAGGTATTATTTCGCTTTATATAAACTGTGACAAGACAATAAAACCAGTTTGTATCTAATTTTAAAAGACGTTTGCTTGAAGCATCTTATTTAGATTTGCGTTTAAATCTATTTTACGTCTCGAAATCGCTTGTCATCACATTGAACCTCCCTCAATAATCCAACCTTACTATCAAGAGGTATTTATATTTGGTTTTGGATTTTGACATTCATTCCTTCTAATTTTACCACTTTAGATTTATGTTAAATTCCATGTAAATATGTACAGCATACAGGTATGTAATCAGACTGTTTAGAATATGTCGCTCTAATACATCTCTTACACGTTCCAGATCACCTACGGTTTTCCACAAAATAATAACTGATTTATCTGTGTATTTCATGTATTTATTCCCCTTGATGAATTTGAATAAAGCAAGAACAACAGAGGTTTGTGCAGAATAATATGGTACCATCATTTGTTTCGTTGGCTTCTCATCAGCTGCTTACAGCCTAAATAAATTATGAGGTTTATGTACAGAAAAGTTTTAACATGCGAATTTTCTCATGATGTCAGTTGATAGAAGGTTCCGCAATTCGTGAACAGTGCTCAGAAAATTGCGCTTGTATAGTTTTTACACAGGCAGTTCAAGTTTAAACAAAATAAATGTATGCATACAATGGTAAAGGAGTCACGTAATAAAGATGAGAGATGCGTAAGAAGCTGAGTGACTAATAAATTAGGTAACAATGTACTGAGTTGAACTCAAATCAAAGAAACAGGAGACAAGCAAAATTACACTGAATCAAAGAGGTAAGGTTAAAGCCAAAGATTACGTAATCAAATGAGATAATAAAGACATCCAGTTACCAGGGCAAGGAAAGATTAATAACTGCTTCTTTCTGAACACATAAATCTGGTTTCAAGCGTTTGATAGAAATTGCTTCAGCGAAATTGAGGAGAATCGAGCTTCTTTGTCTCTTGATAATTTTAAAGATTTCGTGATTTCTACTTCATGACCCGTATCGAGGAGATGTCTGGTAATAGCGCCATTATAAGAGTTTGTTCCCTAACTGTGTATTGGTGCAAAACGTTTCAAACAAACTGTGCGCACACGTACTTGTCAAACCAGTTTATATTAAAATAATAAAGAGAGGTGAGGGAATAAACACTTGGTCAAATTAAAAAGCTATGCTGAAAGTCATACAGTTAGTACCCTATATACATTTTTATAGAGCGAGAACAGCAAACACTGTGGGTTAGATCGCATTTATTTAATTGTGCATGTCCTAAATCCTCCACATATGCAAAATCTGCGTATAATTTGATAGCCTAAGATGCAAATAATTTGGCATGGCTTAATGGTAAAATCCTTGAGTGGAACCCGAAAGGGAAGCGGCGAGTTGGTCGTCCAAGGGTGACTTGGAGGAGGTCATGTGAAGCGGAGATGAAAACGTGTGGGCAGACATGGAGCCAGGTGAAGACTCTAGCAGAGAACAGAACGCAGTGGAGACGCACGGCTGAAGCCCTATGTTCCTGTAGGAATTAAAGGATACAATAATAAATAATAATAATAAAATCAATAGTACCTTAGTCTTTTCCCATCTATGCAACAGTAAACTTAGAAGTAAAAATGACACGCTTCATGACCTGATTAGTTTCTACGAGTGAAGGTTGAAACTGTTATTAACATGACAGGTCATTCAGTGAAACCGATCTAGGTAAAACAGAATAATAATTCAATGAAATACTGATAAGTTGTGACTAGGGTACAAAGTAGTGCGGAATCTGATATAGAAGAGAGCAACTAAGATATACGGATAGTGTGGTAGGAGGTCGAGATAATGGTAGATCAGTTAAAGATATACTAAGGACGGGTTGTATAAAATGAAATCCAGGTTGGAACTGGAAATTTTCTGTGGGTAAAGCAGACACTGTACCGTTCGGTTATTATTTCTATGCGTATTCGTGTACAAACAAAGAAATATGTGAATCCACATTTGTATATAGGTTTGAAATATTCAACATTAGCTTACTAGTTAATTTCAGTAAAATATAGTTGGACATTTTGTGTTTGTAGTAATTCTGTCTGTGGCTACGAACATACATTTAATCACATGTGAGGAGGATCAACTGTTGTCCTACTCACCTATGATCTAGAACTGTGTATGTAACATTAACACCTCCTATTGGAACTATTTTTAGTCATAACAAAAAATAATATGTATGAGTCTTTAGGCTCTTAACTAGATTATTTACCCACAAGAAACCGTCAAATGTATTTTATTCCACTTAATTCACTGATGTTTTCGGGATTGAAATACGATAGTAAGTTAACACAGACAACTGAACGATGACTGAAGTGATTGTTCGCACGTTGTACATTTGCCTGGGAAAAACAAGCCTTGTGTCTGAACGCTGGCACTAAACAGTCAATTAATTCATAAAACTGATAAAATATAAAGCGTAAGTTAACAGGGTTAATTTAAAATCGGATATTTCATACATTTGTTCCCCTTAATGAATTTGAACAAAGCAACAACTACAGATTTAGCAGAATAAAATGGTACCATATTTTATTCTGCTAAATCTGTAGTTGTTGCTTTGTTCAAATTAAAATCGGATAGTTTCACCGTTAGGTGTATGCTAACAATAAGCTCATTTGGTTGACGCTCATCAAATCTAAGCATTCAGTTAAGAATCGCAACACAGTTCTCAGTTGATGTGGTGATAAGAAGTCACATTATTTTAGTAGAAAATCTGTACACATTTGGAATTTCTATACGAATTTATTTGGTTTATTGTATTGTACAATAATGTGTCTACTGATACAATTGATTATAACATTTTTCATGGTCTGTACAATACAGAACTTGTTGTTACCTTTGTCTCATAAATTACCTGAATGAAAAAAAACTCTAGAACTAGATTATGTATAACAGGATCTTTTTGTCGCAAGTTGAATTATAAACACTCAGATTAGCTATGTATTTATTTCAGATTTTGAAAAACTCACTGGTTACTGTAAATTAATCAATACCCTGACATAACTATCTAGTTTTAGCTACAATAACGCGTTTTGTTTGCAATAAGAGTTATACTGTGTTAGTTAATCAGTTGATAACAGTGTGAAACTGGTTGTCGTTTCACGACTGTTAGCATAATATCTACATTCTAAAAAGTTTATATCTATAATGATTTGTCTGCTCTTATACAAATAATTATTTAATGAATCTATGAACATGCATGTTCATCTAACTGTCATGTAGTCGATTATGCTAACAGTGGTTATTTCTATCTACGTGACAATGACTAACTAAAGTTTCACTAACACAGCGTGTGTCTGAGTATGTTTGAGAAGTAATACAAAACAGTTACAATTCATTCTCCAAACTGACTAGTTTTCTACGTGGATTATGACTTTCATATTAATACACAATTACCGCTACAGTTTTTCTTCACCTGAGTGCAAACTTTATTTAGTGATAAGTGTAAAAAATGATTCATATTCCAATTCGAAAATAGGAAAATATCGATTACTACAAAAGGAATGGCAATTTTGGGAGAAAATAGCGGAAATAAAACCTGTTGCCTTAAACCTATATAAAAATATATATTCTTTCTTATATAGAGTATAATAAATGATATTAGCTTAAAAACAGATTTTATACTTAGTTCACGCACGCGCATTAGCAGATTTATTTGTTTGACGGATAACAAACAATCAGGAAGGAAGAGTGCATTTGTTTGTAATGGTATGAGAAGGCGCATAGAAAAACATCCTCGGAAAACGATGTCACACTGACACATTTGTTTAAAAGGTGACAGTTTTTCCATGTCACCGCATATATTTTCATTCTCACATGAATTATTTGCACAGAGACCTTAGGATGGGACAAATATTCATTAACATTTTGCAATTTGGTGTATAATTTAATTTGGCAGCTTATTAAA